TTGGGACTCTTTGTGAGTCTTTGGGTCTGAGTCTATAGATCTCTGTGTGAGTCTGTGGTTCTCTGTGTGAGTCGTTGGGACTCTTAGTGAGTCTTTGGGTCTGAGTCTATAGATCTCTGTGTGAGTCTGTGGTTGTGTGTGAGTCGTTGGGACTCTTTGTGAGTCTTTGGCTCTGAGTCTATAGATCTCTGTGTGAGTCTGTGGTTCTCTGTGTGAGTCGTTGGGACTCTTTGTGAGTCTTTGGGTCTGAGTCTTTAGATCTCTGTGTGAGTCTGTGGTTCTCTGTGTGAGTCGTTGGGACTCTTTGTGAGTCTTTGGGTCTGAGTCTATAGATCTCTGTGTGAGTCTGTGGTTCTCTGTGTGAGTCGTTGGGACTCTTTGTAAGTCTTTGGGTCTGAGTCTATAGATCTCTGTGTGAGTCTGTGGTTCTCTGTGTGAGTCGTTGGGACTCTTTGTGAGTCTTTGGGTCTGAGTCTGTAGATCTCTGTGTGAGTCTGTGGTTCTCTGTGTGAGTCGTTGGGACTCTTTGTGAGTCTTTGGGTCTGAGTCTATAGATCTCTGTGTGAGTCTGTGGTTCTCTGTGTGAGTCGTTGGGACTCTTCGTGAGTCTTTGGGTCTGAGTCTATAGATCTCTGTGTGAGTCTGTGGTTCTCTGTGTGAGTCGTTGGGACTCTTTGTGAGTCTTTGGGTCTGAGTCTATAGATCTCTGTGCGAGTCTGTGGTTCTCTGTGTGAGTCGTTGGGACTCTTTGTGAGTCTTTGGGTCTGAGTCTATAGATCTCTGTGTGAGTCTGTGGTTCTCTGTGTGAGTCGTTGGGACTCTTTGTGAGTCTTTGGGTCTGAGTCTATAGATCTCTGTGTGAGTCTGTGGTTCTCTGTGTGAGTCGTTGGGACTCTTTGTGAGTCTTTGGGTCTGAGTCTTTAGATCTCTGTGTGAGTCTGTGGTTCTCTGTGTGAGTCGTTGGGACTCTTTGTGAGTCTTTGGGTCTGAGTCTATAGATCTCTGTGTGAGTCTGTGGTTCTCTGTGTGAGTCGTTGGGACTCTTAGTGAGTCTTTGGGTCTGAGTCTATAGATCTCTGTGTGAGTCTGTGGTTGTGTGTGAGTCGTTGGGACTCTTTGTGAGTCTTTGGCTCTGAGTCTATAGATCTCTGTGTGAGTCTGTGATTCTCTGTGTGAGTCGTTGGGACTCTTTGTGAGTCTTTGGGTCTGAGTCTTTAGATCTCTGTGTGAGTCTGTGGTTCTCTGTGTGAGTCGTTGGGACTCTTTGTGAGTCTTTGGGTCTGAGTCTATAGATCTCTGTGTGAGTCTGTGGTTCTCTGTGTGAGTCGTTGGGACTCTTTGTAAGTCTTTGGGTCTGAGTCTATAGATCTCTGTGTGAGTCTGTGGTTCTCTGTGTGAGTCGTTGGGACTCTTTGTGAGTCTTTGGGTCTGAGTCTGTAGATCTCTGTGTGAGTCTGTGGTTCTCTGTGTGAGTCGTTGGGGCTCTTTGTGAGTCTTTGGGTCTGAGTCTATAGATCTCTGTGTGAGTCTGTGGTTCTCTGTGTGAGTCGTTGGGACTCTTCGTGAGTCTTTGGGTCTGAGTCTATAGATCTCTGTGTGAGTCTGTGGTTCTCTGTGTGAGTCGTTGGGACTCTTTGTGAGTCTTTGGGTCTGAGTCTATAGATCTCTGTGTGAGTCTGTGGTTCTCTGTGTGAGTCGTTGGGACTCTTTGTGAGTCTTTGGGTCTCTGGGTGAGTCTATAGATCTCCGTGAGTCGTTGGGACTCATTGTGAGTCTTTGTGAGTCTTTGGGTCTCTCGGTGAGTCTTTGAGTCTCTGTGTGAGTCTATGAGTCTCTGCGTGAGTCGTTGGGTCTGTGTGAGTAGTTAAGTCTGTGTCAGTCTGCAGGTCTCTGTATGTATGTAGTTGAACTTCTTTCGCATCATACGTAGCCAACCTTGCTATTCGGAGGCCTCAACGGGTCTATTGGTCTCTGCGTGAGTCAATGGGTCTATGCATCTATGGTTCTGTGGCTCTCTAGTCTCTAGTCATCCTAGTAGCATCGCCTTTATCTTTTCTCAAACCGTATGAGTCTCACCTCCGTGACTTCCAGAATTAGCCTCCCGCACAATCTCTTTCATCGGTGTATCATCATTATTGTTATTACTACGCAAGCGTCAAAAAACCGGGACTTACAATGTCCTGGAAAGGCAGACTCACGGACATATTTTTAGTTTTCTTCCACCGAAGACGTAACAGATTAGACAACCACCTCTAAGAGAGGATGATCCTGTGAACACCTGGACAGGTGGCAACCCCCCCCCCCCCCACCCGCTGGCCCACCCTCCCCTCCAACCCTTCCACCTTCCTCGCCGTGAACTTAAAAGGACGTGACCGGCGCCGGATTACCTAGCGGCAGTCGTCAGCGGACGCGTCCGAGTGACGCTGCGGCACCTGCCCGTCCACCTTGCCTCGGCCGCTCGGGTTATTTATTTTATTTATTTTAATCCCACGTTTCCCGGCACTGACTGACGCACACGGAACGTGACGTCGGCCGAGCCAGTGCCGCGCGCAACGCCTCCCCACGCACGCACGCACACAAAGACAAAGATCCCCGGTGTAGCCTCAACAGGCTGTTGGGGCAATCGCTGTTAGCGAATAGCACCCATAAAGGCAGGCATGGCGCACGAGGCGGTGGGTGGCCAGCACCACGCCCGACCGCCTTTGTCTCCCCCCAATGGCGATGCTTACTGCACACACTGCACCGGGTACTGATTTTTTGGCTGAGTCGACCCAGGGGATGCCCACGACCGGGTTCAGGTGAGCTTCAGCGGTGACGACCGTGAGCGGGAAACAAACCCTCGTTGCCAGGTTCGTAGCGCAGCGCGCTAACCGTCGCACTCCCGCTCCCCACACACACACACACGAGCTCGCACGCTCGCACGCACGCACGCACCCGCTCGCGCACGTTCGCGCACGAAAGCGAGCTGCGAGGCTTGTGCACTCGTCGCGAGATAATGCGGGGCGAGAGCCGTGCTCAAAGAGGGGCGGTCGCGGGAGGGGTGGTGACGGGGGTGGAGTGGTGGGGGGTGGGGGGACGTCCGTCGAGTGGCCGGCGTGGCACGAGAGCGTCAATGGTTCACGACACCCCAGCACCCTAACACCGCCACGGCCCGCGACGAGGTCACGAGCGATGAAGAAAAGTACCCCTTGGCGTCGCTCGCCCTCGCGCGCTGCCGGTCGGCTCTGGCGAGTTCCTCTCGCCCCTGCACTTGAATACACAACGGGACACAACGTCCTTCCTCCTGTGGCTGACGGTGATGTCGAGCGACAGCCCTGAGTTTGCATCGAGAGGCGGCTGATGAGCCAGGTGATTGCGTCAGGAGCAGCTGTGATGATGATGATGCCTCTCATCCTTTGTGTTGTGAATCGGTGCGGAGATGGGGGGGGGGGGGAAGCATTGAGTCTCCGTATTCTATGTTCCACGGTTGTGTTCTGGGTTGTGACGACAGTCTCCCGCACACTGCCCGGGAGAGAGTTTTACATTTTCCACGTGTGCATCATGTGTGTCCGCATCTGTTGCTTTTTTTTATTTTTGAGCCGATGCGGTTTCTCGGTTGTGGTCCCGGGCAAGCTGCGCGGAAGATCGAACCCAGGGACCCCCTGGGTCCCGTCGGGTCTCTCGCGAGGCGGAGGTGTTTACTACTTCTTGTTAGCTCCACGTGGCTTTCCAAGCATCACCACCACCACCATCATCATCGTCATCCCCAGGGTTGAAGTTGCGATAAACAAGGGATACGCTACCGCTGACTCGGAGCGACCGGGGGTTGTTTCCGCCGTTAATGATTAAACGAGAGAAGATAAAACATCGCCTCCCGCTGCAGCGGTTCTCTTCGGGTTGTACCGTCTCGTCCGCTGATGTCGCGACCTTTCACCCCGCGTGCTGGGAGCTGCTTGACGAAGCGAAGGGGATTCTTCCTCCCACCAAAGAATCTCGCCGTACGTGGCGTGGAACGTCGGAAGTGGGAGCGGCGACGCGACCCGAGGGCGGTGCTTCCGCCAGTATCAAAATATAATAGAATCGGTTTTCCCCCTTTTTTCTGGCAACAAAACAGGTGTTAAGATGTTCAAACACCAAACTGAAACATTTTGCGAGGAATCATGTCTGCATTGGCCACATATACTTGTGGTGAACATGCAGACAAAAAAGCATGCTCTGGTTGTATGTGATGCACTGTCTTTGAAGCTGATTGGTCCACACCAGAGACGGCTTTCTTTAGAGCCTCGTCTCACAAACAGTGTTAGACCAGAGGACGCCAAAAGGCGACCAGCACAAAGACAATGCCACTATCAGGACATTGAGAGTTCAGGGTGAGCAGCTACATCATGGGACCTCCCTTGCCAGTATCAAAATATAAGAATAGGTTTTTTCCCCTTTTTTCTGGCAACAAAACAGGTGTTAAGATGTTCTTTTGCAAGGAATCCCGTTCTTCACGGGACGTCCCGCTGATTGACCTCTTTAGAAACGAGCTGGCAGTTGTTTTCCGGCGTCGTGGTCCAAATTTGCCAAGAAAAATTGTTCATTGATTGCCCCCAAATTTCTCAATTAGGATTACACGCAGCGGCAATTATCGTCCCTGCCGGCAGACTAACACCCGTCTTGACGAGCCTGCGGGAACAGAAAGTTATAAGCAGCCAGTGAGAAGGGCGCCCTGTTCACCCGGCGGTGGAGAAGCCGCGGCTGCTGGCTCTGGTGTGGCGGGGAGGGTGACGGCAACGGCACGCGGTCACCACGTGGGGTTGTTCCACATTGAGAGGGGAGCGTTGCTCGGAAGAGGCGGTAGCGGCGTTCGGCGATTACACCACGTTGCTTCCACATCGTGAAGTGCTGCACGCTCAGGGCTGTGAGAGGCACTTGGTTGTGGTTATGGTTGTGGTTATTGCTGTGGTTGTGGTTATGGCTTTGGTTATGGCTTCTGTCCCTCACTGTATCTCGTGATGGGTGTTGCCCTTGCACTGCAGGTACCGGAAAAACCTCAAGGCTTTCTACATTGTCCACCCGACGTTCCTCTCAAAGGTGTGCTTTTCATTGTCATCACCATCATCGTCGTCGTCATCGTCACCATCTTCGTCCCCCGTAATAACCAGGGTTGCCTGCTGAATCTGAACCCCAAACCTCTGCGACAATCAGCAAATGTACAATTTCGGGGCTGTCGATGCTTTTGCAGGATTAGTTGTTTGGTTCAATGCGCTGTTGGCCGAAGTTTACATTACACCAAAGTAAAAGCATTTCATTTTTTTTTTCAACAAACACATTAGAGAGTCTCAAGCAGCACCCATCACAGTGATTTTGTAAATTATCGCTGTCCAGTCTCACACTCCGATTCAACACACTCCAGGCTGCACCTTGACCATTCACTATAAATCAATTAGATAATTGATTGAATCATCGACACGCTGGTGGCGTTGAAGTTTAAACTCACGCAGCCGGTCTGGTACCCACGCACGTCTTCGTGCTCGCCGTTCACTATTAACTGATATTTTTTATTTAAAACTATAAACTATTTTTATTTTACCAGGTAAGGCCCACTGAGCTATACAGCTCTTTTTTGAGAATCGACCTGGCCGCAAATGATTGCTCAATGAAGTGGCTCATCATCTGGAAATTTATTGCAGCCAAATACTCTTAACGCTTGTTGGTTCTAAATGTGGAGGGGGAAACCCGAGGACCCGGAGAAAAATCCACGCGACCACAGGGAGAGACACGCAAACTCCAAATACACAGCAGGTGTCAGGGTCGGGATCAAACCCTTAACCTCCTGCATACCAGGCGAGGGAGTTAACATCTCCTAGCCACCGTGATGATGAGAGAGAGACACGCAAACTCCAAATACACAGCAGGCGTCAGGGTCGGGATCAAACCCATAACCTCCTGCATACCAGGCGAGGGAGTTAACATCTCGCCGCCGCGGCGCCTGCACCCCCCCTCCCCCCAGGTGATGACGTGGTTCTTCACGACGTTCAACGCGTCGGGGCTCAAGGCGAAGGTCCACAGCGTGCAGCGGCTGCAGCAACTGTTTGCTCACATCCCCCCCGAGCAGATCGACATCCCCCCCTTCGTACTCGACCACGACCTCCAGGTGACGTGGCGCTCTATGCGGCCATCCGGCCGTCCGTCCGTCTCTCTGACCTTTCGTGTGTCTCTACGTCCATCAATCTCTCTGAACTTTCGTCAGTCTGCACGTCCGTCCTCAGTCTCTCTGACCTTCCGTCAGTCTGCACGTCCGTCAGTCTCTCTGACCTTCCGTCTGTCTCCACGTCCGTCCGTCAATCTCTCTGACCTTCCGTCCGTCTCCACGTCCGTCCGTCAATCTCTCTGATCTTCCGTCAGTCTCCACGTCCGTCAATCTCTCTGAACTTCCGTCCGTCTCCACGTCCGTCAATCTCTCTGAACTTCCGTCCGTCTCCACGTCCGTCAGTCTCTCTGACCTTCCGTCTGTCTCCACGTCCGTCTGGGGGGGGGGTTAGGGCTACGCATCAGCCGCGATGACCACACGCACGGTGGAGATCCACCGCGGGGACCTCGGTAGAGAGCGGTGCGCCACGTGAACCCGTCGCTGGCCTCCGCTGGGGCCCTGCTCGCTCGTTCATTACGAGTCGGATGAAGGCGGTGGTCGCTCCGTACGCCCCGTTCTGGCTGCGTCCACGCTTCAGGGACGGCTCCCTTTGTTGAATTAAATCTTTCCCACTTTTGTTCTTTCCACTCTCTCCGCAGGCGAACCGCGCGTATTACACAGATGACCCGTTGGGGCACGATCTGTAGGCGGATTTGGAGCAACTGGAACCCCGGCGGCAATAACCCCGTGGCAGCAGCGGCGGCGGCAGAAGCCGCGGCCGTCGCGAGCCATCTCCTCCCGCCGAACCCAGCCCCCAGCGCCGCTCGCCGTCCCCAGCCTCTTGTAAACCAACGCGGTTGGGGCTTGGCCCTGACATTGTTGGACCGCGCCGGCCAGCCGGCGGCCCTCCTTCCCGTGCCGCGTCAGTTCGATGCGTCCTCTCTCGCCCACCGAGCGTCGCCGATACGCGCCCGGTCGGCACGTGCGTCGGAGAAAATGTCAAGACTCTTCGGGGGGGGAAATTATTCTGGGCGCTGCTTGCCGAACCGTTAATGGTTTGTTTGCTCCATTTTAAGGGCTTCGCAAAACCGCCACCGAATGATTTCGAGAGGCTAATCCGTCGGCAATCATTGTACCTTCTTTCCCACTTCATTTGCTCCCCCACGGTACGTTTAAGTGTGCGTGTGTGTGTGTGAGTATGGGGCTGCTTCTTCCCACATGAAGGTTATGCTAGGAAATCGTTGAATATGGGAAATGAATAGGGGTCGACCGTGAGGAGTAGGCTTCATCGCGGTGGTTACGCTGTTGACGATGTGACACGGTCATGGTGGCGGCACTGGGAATGATTTGTACACTTGCTGTGCACACCTTTTGTCCTTGCGTCACAAGGACAAAAGGTGTAGCCCCCCCCCCCCCCTCTCCGATCCTGGTTTGTCCAAAGCCGATTCCACACCCGGGCGATCGGAACACAACTTCATCGCCCGCGGCTGCTTTGCCCGCTTCCGAACGGGCAGTTGTACGGCGACGAAATTAATCGGTGTGTTCGGGATCGTGGCTACCGATCAAAGGAGGTCGGCAAAATTGTCGCTGCGAATCGCTGAGCACAGCCGACGCTTGAACGTCGAGCCTGTCTCTCGTGCGAGCAACGCGATGTGTGAACAGTCGTGAGTGCATCAAGTTTTACGCAACTGAACCGCTCGGGTGTGGAGCCGGCTTGAGATAAGGCGTCGCGAATCGGTCGTGCGCAGGTTTGGTGAATGAACGAGGTGCGTTACAAGTTTCCTGGGCAACACTTTCAATGAAGAAACACGTGGAATTTTATAAATACAACCCAGCTGCTTCTACACAGACCTGGCACTCTACAATAAGCTATTTTTAACTGCAAGCTCTTTACACGTACACACATATGCATTGTATTTAACAAATTATTTTGAGCGGGAAAATCTGGTACCCACTTTGATAGTCTCAAATGAGCTTGTGCATTGTAACTTTTTCTCTTCCAACGAGCACTTCCCACAAACCTGCGTGTGAATTAGCGGGGAGCGGCAGTGCGACATGCTTTTTATTTTCCGCTCGCAGCCACCACCAGTGACGATTATCTCAATTGGTTCTGGGCCTCCCCTAGGTCGACTCAAATGAATACCCGGTGCGGTGTGTAAACATCGCCACTAGGGAGACAAAGGTGGCCAGGCGTGGTACTGGCCACCCACCCCCTCGTGTGCTTTGCCATCCTTCACAGGTACTCGCTAACAGCACTTGCCTCAACAGTCTATTTAAGCTATACAGGGGGGAATCTTTTGTCTTTTTTGCGAATTAGTGCGAGTGTGCGTCTGAGCAATGCCATCGCAGTGGCTTATTCACTGCCTTACCATTCAAGTCATAACAAGAACGAAATGGCAAGTCACTCGCATTTGTCCGGCGTCACCAGATCTCGGCAAAGAGAGCCCCCTCCGACCCTTACCGCCACTTCAATATAGGTCGTGCGAGTGATTGCCGATTCCCAGCCGTCGGTGGCAAGTGGTATCTGATTCTCGACTAGTTGTCCTCCCTTAGGTCACCTCCACCATAAATAAATAAACCTGGTATGCCGTATGGATTTCAGGAATGGGGAGACACTGGTGACTGGTCACAGTGCCGATCGCACCACCACCATCACCACCACCACTACCACCACGGCGTGTGCAGCAATTTTTTAAGAGGTACCCCCGCATACAGCACTTGTTGCGTCGGATCTCATCAGCCTGAATTGAAGCGGTCTCCGTATTTGCGCGTGTGTGACCTGATCGTTTCCTGTGCCTACGGGATTTATGTTGGTTTTGTGCTTGAATTTAATTCACTGAAAAATTCTGGGCGGATCGGCCGCCCTCTCTACGCGGGAAAGGCACACGAGCGGCGAACAGGAGCCCTCATCCCTCCGCCCCCCCACCATCCCCCCCCCCCGCCCCCCACGCACAATCAGAGAGGGTCTCCACTGCACGGCGAGAGGCATGCAAATGAAGATTGCCTCTTCGGTGCCGCCTACTTTAATAAATGGGCGGGGATACGGCGCCGATCCATTCGTAGATGCCCCCCCCCCTGCAATCCGGAGGGCACCGGTTCGATTCGATCTCCCGGTGCGACATTCGAGACAACGCCGGCAGATTTGTTAAATCCCACATATTTCACGGCCTTAATTTCCGTCGAACGAGGTAGTGTGTCATCATCATCTTCATCAATATAACACAAATCGTCAATTGTAATGATAATAAACGAGCGACCAACTTAAATCTTTTTGGCACCACGGCTCTCAAACCCGGCTGACTTTTCGGCAGGGCGCAAAATCTAATTCCCTGACGCACGCCCGGCCCGCCCGCCCGCCCGCCCGCCCGCTCGCTCGTAATGTCTCTTCCGTGGCAATTGGCCACGCCAGAGCTGCGCTTAAACGGAACCTGTCTTCCGGTCGGACGGGCAAGGCATGGAAATCAATCGGCACACTTTATCTACGCACAGCAAGCGGTGAATGTCTAGCGCACGGTCCCGCTAACCCGTAGGTATTAAGTGAAAAAAAAAAATATTATTTATTTGCCGTTTCCATTGTGACGGTTTTTTTTCTTTTCAGTTTTGTCTTACGGCAGCTTGCCATGCCATGCAGTGGGTGCTTTTTTTTGTCCTTTTCGTTTTTTTTCATTGGCGGGCGCTGAATGTCGCGGGGCGCCCGCGATGTCAACGCGAACCTACGGCAGCGCTGGCAACGCGGGAGAGTGGCGTGCGCGCGTGCATCCCGCACGCACGCAATGAAGCCACGTTGGTCGATGTCAAAAAGAAAAACACAAAGCCTAATCCACGTCATTTATCTGCGGCCGACGGAGCTGTGTGCCCACGTGCGAGTGTGTTTTGGGACCAACAAACGCTAAGTGCGTGCGTTTAATTTCGACGCGTTTTTGTTTTGTTTGTTTTACCACGGCGCTCGATAGGAAGCCGCCCTCGTGTCGACGCATCGCGCTGGCCGATTCGTTTGCGTCGCTTTGACGTCCACGCGCTTGCCACCCGCCCTCCCCCCCCCGCCGCCGCCGCCGCAAACTCACGCGGGCGAGAGAAAGCTGGTCAAGGATCCAAGAGAAGGCATTCCCTCGCGGCGTCCTCCGTCGAATGTTTCCCAAAATCCGGTCGCGGATTTTACGGATTGGCGCCGTGTTTTTTCGGCCGCAAGCGTCCGCGGTGGCAGTCGTCGTCCACCGCTCCGTCCGTCCGTCCGTCCGTCGGTTGCGCCCGATGTGATCTTGAAGCCCCGTTCTGAAATCTGCTGCACGTGCCCTGGCCAGGGCATTGCTTTCCACCACTCGGTTTTGATTTACCGCCAGCCCTGACGGCTGATTTGTTCCGCCAAAGATTCCCACTTCCACTCTCCCTCCCCCCCACCCTCTCGCCCCCCTCCCCTCGTTAATTTGGCACGTCGTCGCTCCATCGATCGACCTCACGGCCCCCCCCCCGCCCCCCCCCCAGTGCCGTTGGTGTCGAGGCCAGGGTGCGATGACGAGCGATGCGCAACTGGCCAACCCCCCGGACCCGGTCGTCCTGACGTGCACCGCAGCGGAGTTTAGAAACCTCGCGAGCAGATGCCGACCACATGTTTTTTGGCGTTCGTATTTTAGTTTCTGTAATTATTTTTCGCTGTGTCGGTTTATCGCTTTTTTTGTTACTTCTGTAGGCTTGGGTGTTTATTTTTGGTCCCGGATGCAGAGTTTTTACGATGGAGTGCGAATTTCCACTCGGTTCGGTTTCTTAAGGGGCCTAAATTCCACATCGTGTTTGTGTGTAGTGTCGCCAAATTGCACATTCTACGCGAGTGGTTGAACTTTTAGGATAAATGAATGTCTTTGGTATTATTATTATTATTCATCTTGTGGCACGTTTGCCTGTGAAGGTCCAGAAAAATCTCACTTTTGTCTCTGTGTGTGTGTGTGTGGGGGGGGGGAGCGGTGGCACACTGGTTAACGCACATGGATAGTACTTGTGTGTGTGTGTGTGCGCGCGTTTCTGTGATCATATGTGTAGGTGCAGCGGTGGCGTAGCAGTTAGCGCGACGGCCTACGAACCTGGCAACATAGGTTCGATACCCAGACACGGTTAACATCGATCGCTTTTATCTGAACCAGTATTGGGCTCGCCTATGTCAGCCTTAAATGAGTATGGTGTATCAACCTCCGAACCAGGGAGACGAAGGCAGGCTCGGTGTGGTTCTGACCACAACACGTGAATTGTGCCGGCCTTCATAGGTGCTCGCTTAACTGCACTTGCCCCAACAAAGATATGTAGGCTATATAGCGGGGGGAGGGGGGTGGGGACATGCGTGAAAAGAGCTTCATAGCTCATCGGATTCTGACAGTCTAAATAAAGATTCTGATTCTGGAATCTTTACCTTTGTGTGCTTTTGTATGTCCGCGCGCGCGTGTGTGTGTATATATACTGTGTGAGGATCGGTAGTGTAGCGGTCAGCGCGCTGTGCTACGTGACCTGGTGAAAGAGGCAAATACTAGTAGCGATTGTCTGAACCGGTCATGGGCCTCCCCTAAGTCGTCTCAGGCTCAAATTGGTATCTGGTGCAGTGTGTAAACATCGCCACTGGGGAGACAAAGGCGGTCGGGCGTGGTGCTGGCCACCCACCCCCTCGTGTACTGTGCCAGCCTTCATCGGCGTTCGCTAACAGCACTTGCCCCAACAGTCCGTTAAGGCTCTATGGGGGATCTTTGTGTTCGTTGTACACTGCATTCACATCAGGTAGAGTTGGGCGGTAATCCTCACGGGGTTACGGATGGTCGCGTCCCTCCGTGTTTTATCGCTGGACAGCCGGTGACGGACGGCTGTCTCCGCGGTGACGTGGGGGACGTGCCGGCGAGAGAATGCGCCCCCCCTCGGCTCCCGCCCCCCCCCGGTCCCACGCTGTCCGTGCCGGGACGTGCGTCCCTACCACGGCCCCACCGAGATCGGCAATCACTCGCACGACCTATATTGAAGTGGCGGCAAGGGTCGGAGGGGGCATCTCTTGCCGAGATCTGGCGACGCCGAGATCTGGTGACGCCGAACAAATGCGAGCGACTTGCCGTTTCGTTCTTGTTATAACAATGTAAGTGTGTGTGTGTGTTGAACTTGTGTGTGTGTGTGTGTGTTGAACTTCTTTCGCACCGTGCGTAGCCGACCGTGCTAATTGCAAGTAACAAGAACGAAAGCCTCACCGAGTCCCAACTCTCTTCTTCAGTAGGGTCCTGCCAAATGCATGCTCCTGTGTGTGTGTGAGAGAGATCCCAGTCGAGTAAGTTTGTAATGTTTTCAGCATTTGCATATTGCGTGTCGTGTTCAGCCATGGGTGGAAACTTGAGAACCCGCAGTAAACCCATGGCGAACATACGAACTGCACGCAGGAAGGCGCCCGAGTTAGGAATTGAACCCCAGGCCCTTGTTGCGGTGAGGCATGAGTTGTCACCACTCTGCGATCTGTAAATTCGAGAATGAAACCGATCCCGTGGAACCGTGTTCATCGGCTCTTTGTGGGTTAACGTTCGCTTGCTTCACACTTTTACACAAAAGTGTAAAAAAAAACTCTACAAAGTCAGTCTATTTGTAGGCTGCCGGGTTCACAATGCAATGTGCTAACCGCTGCTCCACCGCTCCCCCCACCCCCACCTCGTGATTGTTGTGGTGCTTAAGCTGTGGACGGCAACCGGTGGGAGGGAGGGGGAGGAGAGGGCGGAGGGGGCTTTGTTATTCGCGTCGCTTTGAGCCACTTTTGCCGGCTCGGTGGGACACGCGGGCAAGAGTCGAAGCGGACCTTGCGTGGAGACGCGGGGTGAAGTGAACCTGCAAGGGTTAACGCACGCCACCACCCCCCCCCTACCCCCTTCCCCATGCAAGGTGACGCTCACAGTTTGTGACGGTTTGCTGCTAAGTCTAACGTGAAGAGATCTCTGCCGGTTGCCTGTGCGGTGGAGTAGGGGAGGGAGGGATTCGTTTTTTGTGGTTCCGTCAGTAACAATGAGATGTCACGCCAATGCGGTTACAGGGCTTCACGTGTTGCGTCCGTGTCTTTCCCTGTGATTACCCAGCTCGCTGGAGCTGGGAGGAGGAGGAGGAGGGGTTGAGAGGGGTGTAAGTTGTGCAGCCAGTTGACGTGTAGATACTCTCCTGTCAGCGCGAGTGTAACTGTCACCGTGTGATGGGAAGGCACACCCCGAAGCTTGCATTGTCCTCGGCCCGTCTTGTTTTCCGTCGGGTTCAGTACGAAGGTCTAAATATGGCAATTACTTCCGGTGCTGCAGTCGTTGATCCGAATCGCCGAGTGATGAATTGTGCTTTGCGCTCGGCGATGCGTGCGTCGGATTGCGTGTTGCGCAAGTAGGGCCGGATTAAGATGTTGTAGGCCCCTGGGCTGCAGGTACTGTGAGGCCCCGCAGTAATATTTTCAAAAAGAAAACAAAGTTTAAGAAAAATATAATTTACTTTTTTTACAAGGCGAACAAATAAAATTCAGCATTCACGAGTAAAATAACTTTTCAATTGCCCCCACGCCTTAATCCGACCCTGCGCGCGAGTGTTTGTGTGTGTGTAAAGAAAGAAAAAAAAGTGATTATTTTCGATCCGTACGTGGGCAGTCCTGCAAAATCGTGCAGCCTGAAAAATATTCAAATTTCTCGAAATCATCCCGGTAAGCGCACGAGAGCTGTCTGAGTGAAGTCTGACAAGAAATCGGGGCTGCCCGATTTCTTGTCAGATCATTGGCTTTGGGATTCATGTATATTTGGAGTTTTGCGGCTGTCTCTCGCACCGTGATCGCGTAGATTTTTCTCCAAGGGTCTTCCGGTTTTTCCCCCCACCACAATTCGAAATCGACGTGCATTTTAGAATATTTGGCTGCTATAAATGTCCAAGCCACTTGATTGAGATGTAATTTGTGATAGCCAGGTCGCTTCTAAAATAAAAGAGCTCCATAGCTAAAGTAAAATTCCAAACATGTTTTTATTTTAAATATCTAGATGTTTTTAGAATGTCCGTGCACCGTTGCACCTGTTCTACCCCTGTGTTGGGGAAACCACTCCCGGGGCGGGGGGTGCGGGGGGACAGGACACACGTTGCACCCTACACTTGTTCACACTTTTTATTTCACCACCCCACCCCCCCCCCCAAAAATCTAAAATTGTGAATGTCATCGGCACGGCGGCTCCCGGCGGCTCCCGGCGGCTCCCGGCGGCTCCCGGCGGCTCCCGGCGGCTCCCGGCGGCTCCCGGCGGCTCCCGGCGGCTCCCGGCGGCTCCCGGCGGCTCCCGGCGGCTCCCGGCGGCTCCCGGCGGCGGCCACCACCGCAGGTCTGCGACGCGCGACGGCACGGATGGTGGGGATTGTGCGCTCCGTGCGTCATACCGGAGCGCCCGCCCTCGCCGCGAGTGATTGCGTTAACCCGCGGAGCGACACGCTCGCTTGCTCGCTCGCTCGGCACGCGATGAACCACTTGGGTCCCGGGCGTCACCCCGAGCCACCACGTGTGCTGCTGCTGCTGCTGGTGTTTGTGCTGCCGCTGTTGCTGCTGCTGCTGCTGTCGCTGTCGCAGCTGGTGCTGCTGCTGTTGCTGCTGCTGTTCCTGCTGCTGCGTGTTGGTGGTGACGCGCGCGTTATTTCTGGGAAAGCGGCCGCCCCCGAAGTCCAATGGTGACGCTGCCGCGCTGTAACGGTTCGCAACGCTGGACTTTGCCACTCACGAAGGTCGTCCGCTTTCGATTCGAATTTCCCTCGGCGTGGCAGCGGGCGACGCAGCGAGGTGCGCCGCCCGCTGCCGTAGCGACCGCCGCCGTGGTGCCGACGCGCGTGGCAGAATGTAGGGGGGAGGGGCCCTCGTCGCGTCGTCGCTCCACTGCTGGACGAGGGCCCCTCCCCCCTACGCCGGCCGCTACCGGGTTGGCGAAGGACCAGCGGAGGACGGGCGGGCGGGCGAGCGGGCGGGCAGAGGCCCGGGGGAGCATAGAGGTACGGCACAACGGCGGATTGCGCCTGCACCGTGGTCACCCGTGCGGGCGCCGTGGTTGCGCCCTGCGGCTCTGCTTCCGGGGTCGCACGATGGGTTGATTCGGCGACGGTCGTTATGCACGGGTTCGGGGGGGGGGGTAGGGGGGGTGTCGTGAGTTCACCGAACCCTGCCCAGGGTTTCAGCCGCTGGGGAACACTTCTGTAAATGTTTTGCTGTAACGAGGTTTTTTTTTTTAGCTCCGATGTAAAATGTGAACGCCCTCATTCTCCCGGCTCCTCACCTTCCCCCCCCCCCGCCCTACCACCCTCCCCGACTTTGTGATTTTCTTTTGCTGTTTATCGAACTGATTAAAACAATGCAAATAAACTTGTCTTTTTTTTACCTTCACCTTGTCTCGTTGGCGTTCCACTACGGGCATGTTGCGATCGATGTTCGGTTGATGGCGTTAGTACAGCATTTGCCACTTACAGGGGTTGTTTTATGAATCTAGATCAGCTGGGGGCGCCGTGGTGGTGAGATGTTATCTCCCTCGCCTGATATGCAGGAGGTCGTGCGTTCGATCCCAACCCTGGCGCCTGCATATCTCTTTAGTTATGCTATGGTTCACTGAGATGACGACTAAACTTAAAATATAACTAAATTCAAGATGGCAAATAGTTTTAATATCGTCAACTTTTTTTTTGTACGGGGGCCTGCGCTTAACAATGCGCGAATGCTTGGTTATGTAACATAAAAAATGACAAACTATTAAACTCGCCACGTTCATCGTCATCATTAGTATTCCTCTTGTTTGTCTTGGCTGGGTCACATGACAAGTGTTTGCAGCAGGCGACTCGATGCCATGTACTTCCACTTAACTCATTCGCGCGTAACCTTTGAAAATGTTGGCAAATGTTTTTAATCGTGATGCTCGCTCTCCGCCGTGGCCTCCTGTTGCGAATTAAGTTACGCGATTTTGTAACGGCCGCCGTGAAGTGTACGGGCCGCGGCATTTTTCATGGGTCCTTGTGAACGTCCGCGCTCGTCCACTCTGGGCGAGAGCCGAGGGCTGCCACGGCACGATCCCGGAAGGGTTGTGTCGGGCACTTGAGTCGGGGGGGGGGGGGGCGGTGGGGGGGTGGGGGGGGGCGGTGGGGGGGTGGGGGGGGGCACATTGTTAACCGGGGTGCGAGCGCTGGGTTCGAGCCGCGAAGCTCCACGGCAATCGGCGAACGCGCCGAAACCGCTGGGCCTCGTCACGCGACCTGCCCATTCGGGCTGCTGCCTCGCGACGGGGAAATTGTGTACGGGGTGCTTCAACAAAAATCACTTTCTTTTTGTTAACGCTTCTATGAATTTGCAACAACACCACCAGGAATGCGCCCTCCGGGCTCTGGAGACCACCTGGAGAAGAAGGATTCCCAGGCACGCGTTGATAGTGATTGCGAACAAGTGGAGACTCTTTGACTTCTTGAAGTTATTAACGTTACATTTGTTAGAATTGTAACATTACATTTGTTATGCGGTGCGATTCGCCGTAATTTTTCCATTAAAAACGATAGTGCCATATAAGTGTGAAATTTTTTTGAAGCACCCTGTTTAATGGGCTCGTCAGAGAAAGAGAGGGCAGAGAGATTAACACAGCTGGAGGATTGCACTCGACGGCGTGGGCCCGTGAATTGGCGGCAGTGTTGCGCCGAGTAAATCTGCCAACGGGGGAGACCTTCATATTTGTTGCATGTTAATAATGTATGTGGGTGGCGCAGTGGTAAAGCTCGCAGCAAGGTGGCCACCGGGTACGACTCCCCCCTACTCGGGTGCCTTTCTGCGGTGAAGTTTTTTGGAGCGCCTTTTGTCCTGTTCGCTGCGTCGGTTTCCTCCCAGAGCTCAAAACAAGAAACTCGCAACGTGTAACGGGCATTGGCCAAAACATCCCAATGCACCCTCCAAATTACTCTCTAGGGATTGCACACTGCATGCAGCAGCTACATCGCTCCTGTCCCGTGAAAACGTTGGTGCAGGACCCTCTTGACAAAGAGTCTTTGAGACTCGGCAAGGCTTTCCGGTTATTAATAACAACAGCAACGTTCGTTTCACTGTTCATACTCAACATTATTTACCCCGTCGAGTTGTTGAATCTACCCTGGGCTCACGAACCTAAGTAGGCGTTTAATAATCCACACAGCCAGCCGCATGTTAACCGATTCCATCGCTCCAACTCCCCAAGTTGACTGATCACGTGATAACCTAGGTTATACCAGAGTTACGCGTTCAGAAATGTACCCAGGAATAAAAATGTGCCCTCTGCCCATCTACTGCTGATCAAACGCCTTCCCACGCTGTGTTAGTAACGGGGCTTTGTTTGACCATACTTCGCCACGCCGGTCAGTGCAGCTTCTGGACGGAGGCAGACCAGGACTGGGTCAGGTATCGCTTGCCACTGATGTTAGTCGTGTTCGGGAATCGAACTCGGGTTAGCCATATCCGTATCGCAGTGCGCGAACCACTGTGCCACCCACTACTGCTGGTCACGTGCAATTGGATTAATTTTGTCTTATATATTTATTTGACTTTTTACAAATGTATTCCGTTTGTGCTCAGTATCGTGTCATGGAAACAAAGACATATCCCTGTGAGGTTAGTGCAGAATGTTCCGTGGAAGGCGATACGACAGAACGACTTCTCAGGCGCTTTCCAGTGACCTCTTGTCCTCAAACTCAGTGGGCTCGACCTTTCCGAAAACGCCCTAACGAGAATGCCCGAAACGTCGCCTATTATCTGTTGCGAATTTGATGTAGTTATTTACTGCTCGTGCACCGGTAATCTGTATTGTTATTTTCACAGACCCTGACCAGTGTAGCACACACAATGCTGTCACGGCCATTTGGTTTGGCTTAGAGTACAGCGTGGTCCAGATTGTCTTGTGGCCGCCATATAATTCCGTAAAACTTCATATATATTTTTTAAAATAAGTTTTACTTAAAACTTAAATTAATATGCAAAGGAAAAACAATGTTTGGGATCAATTAATTTGGGGGGGGGGGGGGGGGGAGGGGTGTCACAAGACATTTGGACCGCCCATCAGAGTACTGTAACAGGCTCTCGCAAACTCCAGTGCTCGCGAGGTATCCAACCACCACGCTACGACGTCTCTCCACCTTCACCAACTTACTCCGCCATTCGAAATGCAGTGCAAATGAACTCTGTGCGCGCCACACGCACCCGATGATTGTTAAGACACGTCCCACGTGACGCGCTAAGCAAACAACGAACGCTTGCCCGCGTCAGAGTGGGACCGCGCGCATGACGCACACCGAGATCCTCAATGTATTCGTTTGAGGTTCGGAGTAAAATTGAGATCTTGTGAATTAATTGCTTTGCGCGGCCACGTGGAACTGTGTTGTGTTTAACGGCAAATGATGGTGCGCGTGCGGCGTGGAACGAGTTCATTTGTAATTGGAAGTCTGTTAAAAAAAAAGCTTGATAGCTAATGGGATTCCTTTCAGTGTCAATACAGAGTCTGAATTGGGTGGAGGGGGTGGGGCAGGAGTAAGTTGGCACAGGCGTTGGTGGTAGGAGGGGCCGCTAGCACTGGAGCTTGGGAAAACCCTGGCTCAGAGAACCCTTAGCCCAGAATACTCGGCAATTGTCACCCCCCCCTCTCTCTCTCTCGTGTCATCGCTAGCCCCGTGGTCCCCTTGCTGTTGAATTTTTTTTTTTTGGCGAACGTTTAGGGTGTTGGCTTCGCTCGCGGTCGTGTCGGCTTCACCTTTCCTGTGTCCAGCTCCGGACGGAGCGAGACATTGGGACGGGCTTGCGGCCAAGGGCATCAGCGACACCGCGCAAACAACGAGTCGACCCCCACCACTCCCCCAAGCTACCGGTTCATTTGTTTAGTTTGTTGTCGAGGCCACTCTCTTTAAGTGAGGGCTCCCTGTTTGCGTTCCACCTCCTTTGCTTCCTCACGCACCCCCCCCCCCCAACCGCATCAAAACATTGCTAGCTCTCGAAGTGGAGGAAGAGGGAGGGAGGGAGGCAGGCAGGCAGGGAGTGTGCGATAGGGCAGGTCTTCTCGAACGTTCTCGCCTCCGTGGTGCCTGCACCCAGCCGCGTTTATCAAGCTCCACACGCGTGCGAGCAGCAGCAGCAGCAGCAGCGAGTGCGTCATGACCTGGATAAAGAGAAGTCACAGATTACCCCCCTCCCCACTCAATCCCCACCGCCTATCATCCGCTGCCCAAACAACGGTTGCTCAACCACTGTTGACAA